CCCGGGATCGAGTCCCGCATAGGGCTCCCTGCTCGGCGGGGGGTCTGCTTCTCCCTCTGACCCTCCTCCCTCTCGGGCTCTCTGTCTCTCATTCTCTCTCTCTCAAATAAATAAATAAAATCTTTAAAAAAAAAAAAATCACCCCCTTCCCCCTCCACCTCTGGCACAGAATCTCCAACACTTCCCTAAAGAGCTGTTTACAGCCCAAGAGTAAGCCTCTGGGTGGGGGAGGGGCGTGAGGGGCTTTGTTTTGAAGCTATTTTTGCTACCACTTAACACAACTCTGAGGGAACATCACTTTTCCCTATCAAAGAATGCACCCCAGAGCGATAATAGGAGTGGAGGGCGAAAGCTTCCCGAGCTGCCCCCACCTTCGCCACTGACTTCTTGCTCAAGTCTTAAACTCTTCAGAAAACTCACCCCAAACAGTCCTTCGAAAAATGTCCCACCAGCTGTAGACCTCTGCCCTTTCCCATTGTAAATTGGGAGGGTGAAGCCAGAGATTTTAGATGGAGACAATGAAAGAAGGCTGGGAAGCTGTGTGGTTGTGTGCGTGTGCACGCGTGCGTGCAACAGGACTCTTTCTGTTGTCCCAGAGCTGCTGAAGCCCAAAGCTGGAGACAGAAAGCATCAGGGGCTCCCACATCCTGAAGAAGGGCTCCAACCTTCCAACCCAGCAGACGCATACTCTCAGAGAAAAGTACTGAGAAATGGCACCGCTGGCCCTATTACAGCTCAGACTGTTCCCTTCGGGCCACCACCCACCATGCTATGTCCACACGAAAGGACCGGAGAGGGGAGGGAGCGGAGCTGGGTGTTCCTGGTGAGAGGCTGCTTTCTCCTGGGGCAGAATGGGAACGAGAAGAGGAGATACACCGGTGCCCTCCTGCTCCCCCAAACCGAGAGACGTGGAAGGGAGAGAGCTGCTCGAGGACAGCGGGAAGGTCTGCATGCCAGGAAAGTTGGCACCCAGTTTCCCGCCTGGACCCTCGGCGAGCTGCACAGATCCGCAGGCCCACCCTGCGGCCCTGGGAGCTGTGGGTGAGGAAATTCTTGCCCGGGCTTAACAAATAGCTCAGTGGTGTGTTGTGCGTGAACCTGGAGTCTGGTGCCCCCTTGTGGCCAAGAGATATCTGAACGTGAGAAGCTCAAAAAGTACTAAGGCGTTAATGTGCCTGGAAAGAAAATGGCAACATCATCGCAACCGTGGGAGTTGGAAAAAGGACCTTAGGAGTTCCCAAGGCTCCATATGGAGGACCACAGGGCTTACTTAGAGGGCCTGTCCAGGAGATAGGAGACAGAACCGGGAGAAGGGCATGGGAGTCAGCAAGCATAGCTGCCCTTCGCTGAGGGAGGCCCCAGGGAAGGAGGAGCCCAGATGAAAAACAGAACAGCCCCTGTGCGGAGACCCTCGCCCCCGCCGCCCTGCAGGTCACCTCACTAGATCACAGCATTAGAGTCGGAAGAGGACCATATCCGCAGAAGTCCTCTGTCTCCCAGAGGATGTAATATTGAAATTGTACTTGGGATTGGTCAGCTTTACCAACCAAGGTCACCCTGACAGTTATGAGATATGCCCAAGGTGTCCTGAAAGAATGGGAAGAGGCTTGGTGCCACGTGGTTGAAAGCAGTGACTGGAAAAAAGAAGTTTCATGTACACGGTCCACCACTGAGTTGAGACCTGTCAACACATCAGTTACATGTACCCAGGCACGGTCATGGATTTGGAAGGAGACAGAAATATCAACTGTGCCACTTAATACCTTTATTGCCTCAGGCCAGTCCTATCTGACCGTCAGTTTCTTCAGTCCAAAGAAGACCATAATACCTAATGGGCAAGGTTATTAAGATTAGAGGCAGTGTATATAAACGAATAGAAGCTGCTATTTATTTATGTATTTGTTTATGATTATATGGAGGCGTTCATTGCCAGCTTCTTTTGACAAAAGATTTGAAGTAGTTTATGACAAAAGACAAGTAAAAAGAACTAAAATAGGAATTAAAAATTTAGGGGCGCCTGGGTGGCTTAGTCGTTAGGCGTCTGCCTTCGGCTCAGGTCCATGATCCCAGGGTCGGGAAGCCTGCTTCTCCCTCTCCCACTCCCCCTGCTTGTGTTCCCTCTCTCGATGTGTCTCTCTCTGTCAAAAAATAAATAAAATCTTTAAAAAATAATTTAAAAAATTTAAAAAGAAATTAAAAATTTAAAAAGAGCAAGGAATGCTGAAGTGCTAACCATAAATGTAAATAAGGTGATTTCAGTTTCAAATTTGGTTTTGAGTTTCCTGTCAGCTGAGGTGTAAAGGGAAACCTGACAACGTGTACAACTCCAGTTACCAGAAAGAAAGAGGGACACTGCCTTCTCAGGGAAGACAAGCTCTTCTGGGCTCCAAATTTCAAAAGCAAAGTCTCAGGAGGAGTTTTTCTGCATTGGCTTGTAAATTTCCCGAAACCTTGACCATTCTTTACGGTGGGTTTCCAAGTGTCCCGAACTAGTAATATAGTAACTGGGACTGGGACAAATTTACCGCAAGTTACCTACTCAGATTTCTACACTTCACATCTTACCCTTCATTTCTTCAAATGCTTTCAGATGAGCTCTTCCTTAATACGTCCATTGTAAGATCACCCAAAGGACATTTAGGCTCATCACTTCCACCCGCAAGGAGATGTTTTCATTTGTAACTCAGGCAGAAGCTTTAGGCTGATGACAAATTAAAGCAAAAGCATAGAGGTATTTTTAGATGAAACAGCTAAATTCAAAAGACTTCTCTTTCCAGAAGCAATTCAGGCCTATAAAGGCCACACAGCTCTCCCTTTAAGGCCAAGGTCACCTTTCAGGGCTATTAGCACATGAAGTAAACAGCCTTTGCAAAACAGTACTACAGGGGAGCTTTCCCACCCAAACCCCAGAGGCACCTCAACTAATCTGCATATGCTAACGCCAGTTACCAGGAAGATGCCAAAATAAGCTCCTGTCCTCCCTCACCTTTACTTTAATCCCCACATAGGTTTTGCTTTTACCATATGGTAATTATTTCCAAATCACAAGTGCAAACACTCACTCTGATTGGAAAATTAGCAGATTTCAAACTCAGGTAATTTGTCCCTAATGAGGAACTTGTTGAACTGAATTTAACAATTAACTCGCACACCCTTTGCTGCCTGCAGCCCTGGGAGTACAGCAGGAAAGAAGGAAGGGCAAGCCGAGGGACAAGCCTGGCAGGACTTTGGCACAAGATGGTTGGGATGGGACAAGGTATGTAATAGGGCTGTGGGAACATCAGGAACTTGACTGTTCAAATGGATATATAGCCAATTACAAACATATGCCAAAATACAATGATACGGTGAGCCTCCATGTACCCAACACCGCAGCTCCCACAATTACCAACTCAGGGTTGCTCTGGCTTCATGCGGATTGAGGACCAAGAGACCAAGAAAATGGACCGGGAAGAGGAGTGAAAGAGCAGGAGGTGGGTCTCTCGAATTCCCGCAGGTTCCAAGCTCCTTGGGGGCAGAGGTGGGATAGGTGAGTGAAAATTAACTACTGGGATGGTTTCCGCCCTCCTCATTAGCATTTTGAATGTGGCAGGGCAGGGCCTGGGAAAGAGCTGACCCTTGTTTTCCAGTCTCTACTACTCTCCCTACCCCATGGCTGGGGCCACTTGCTCTCGACTCTGCAGCTGCAGGCCCAGGTGACCAGAAGCGAGGATTTCTGGGAGCTCTGGCTTAGCACACAGAATCAGCATGATCACTCCCACTCCCAACTGTGCGCTCCGTTGATTGGCCCCTGCCTTTTCTCAAGCACGGTTACCCACTTCATGCCTCAGGCTCTGTCTCTAAGATCTCCTTTGCTGCTTGTCCCTCTAGAACTGCCCTGTTCAACACCGTAGCCACATGTAGCAACTGACCACTTGAAACATGGCTAGTGAGACTGGGGAACTAATTTTTTTTAACTAACTTAAATTTAAAAACTGGTACTCGATTCAATTATTGGAAAACTATATTTTCAACTAGAGATTTTATAAGAACCTAAGTACGGATCAAGGGTTTCTGATGAAAATCTAGCGTCTGAATCAGGCTGTAACTGTCTGAACTTTGAAGATTTAGTAAAAATAAAAAAATGTAAAATATCTCAGTAAGGATATAAGGGGTACCTAGCTGTCTCAATGGAGCATGCGACTCTTGATCTTGGGGTTGTGAGTTTGAGGCCCACATTAGGTGTAGAGATTACTTAAAAATAAAATCTTTAGGGCGCCTGGGTGGCTCAGTCCGTTAAGCATCTGCCTTCAGCTCAGGTCATGATCCCAGAATCCCTGGATCAAGCCCCACATCCAGCTCCCTGTTAGCGGAGAGTCGGCTTCTCCCTCTTCCTCTCCCCCACCATGCTTACTCACTCTCTCTCTCAAATAAAATCTTTAAAAAATAAATTAAATTTTTTGAAAATATTGATTACATGTAGAAATGATAATATTTTGAATATACTGGGTAAAATTATTAAGGGTAATTTCTCCTGTTCTTATTTACTTAATAAAATGTGACTACTAGAAATTTTAAATTATTTTTGAGGCCCACATTATATTTTGATTGGACAGCAGTGACCTAGAACCAGACTCCTCTCTGCACTTCCAAGTACCCTTAAAAAAAATACAATTCTGTTGCCAAACTCCTGCCTGTAACAGAGGCCCCAGTTGCCAGATATGTCCTGCTATACTGGCCCCACCTAATTTTCCTAGATGATCATCTCCTGCACCATCTTCTCTGCTCCCTGTTAGAACATTCTGGAGCCACACAACACTTTCACACAACCACGGCATATTGGTCAGCCATTAAGTCATGAACACAAAGACTGAATGGATCTAATTTCAGACTAAGATGATGAATTTGACCTGCGGTGGGGAAGAGCCTCCAGGTTCTCAAGATACTAAAATGAAAGTAAAGTTTATTCACGAAACATAGCCAGTTGATATCCTCCAAAGGAACCTTCCAAGAAGTAAGCACTTTGGTACGGATATTACAAGGAAATATACAAAGACCACCAAATGGTGATATGACACAAAGCTGAATTTATTTGCTTGCCTAGGAGGGAAGCATCACATTACTCCACCACAAGTTAAGTTGCTGTCTCCCTGCAGTACAGTTGAACCTTGAACACCACCAGTTTCAGCTGCATGGGCCCACTTAGATGCAGATTATACTTGATATATATGTCACAGTACTATAAATGTATTTTCTCTTCCCAATAATTTCCATAATAGTTTCCTTTCTCTAGCTTACTTTATCCTAAGAATACAGTATATAATACACATAACAGACAACATACCTGTTAGCTGACGGTTTAAGTGATCGGTAAGACTTCCGGTCAGCAGTAGGCTATTAGGAGCTAAATTTTTGGCTAGGCAACAGACATAACACAGATTGCTGACTTCATGGGGAGTCGGCGCCCCTAACCCCACATTGTTCAACGGTCACCAGTACCAAGAGGGCAAAAGGAAAGAAGTACATCAGATCAGGTGGGATTCTGGGTGCAGGTGTCTGGCTGGTTCCCAAGGCCAAGCGGAAACTCTTCTTAGCAAGTGGTCATCACGCTGGTTCAGTTCCTAAAAGTGCAGGCACCATACACGGAGATGTCCAGGATGGGTAACCTAAAGCCCTACCGGGCTCCGCGTCACTCACATGGCACGTCTGACCCGTGGGTTGGCCGAAATCTTCCCTTAGCAGGGCCAGGACAGCACGTTAGTACAGCGGGGTTGATCAAGTAGGAACCACCGGTTACCTGCCTCTTTGCTCATCTCTTAAAGTGGACTGCCAGACCTCATTTCCCTTTCCTGTCAGGGCCAAAGGCAGGGAAGCATGCATGTGTACATAGAAAAACAAATTTTAGGGAGACAGGTTGCCCTTTAAAAATTGTAATGCAACAAAATATCAGAAGCTCTCAAAGAAATCCTTGCACAGCAACGTTCCTAGCAACAGCATTCACAATGGCCAAAAGGTGGAAGCCAGCTAAATGTCCATCGATGGATGACAGATAGACAAAACGAGGTATATGCACACCAGGGAATAATGTTCAGCCGAACAAGAAGAACGAACAAAGCCCGATGCGTGTTACACCACACACGAACCTCGAACACATTACGCCAAGTGAGAGAGGCCAGACATGAGAGGTCGCATGCTATCTGATCCCATCATCAGCAGATATCTAGAATAGGGAAGTCCGCAGACCCAGAAAGCAAACTGGTGTTTCCGGGGCCGGGGGAGGGGAGGATGGGCAGCCAGCGCTTCCTGGCTACAGAGATCTGTTTGGGGTGAGGAAGCGGTTTTGGAAATAGAGCTGGTGGTGGCACAGCCATGTAAATGTAGTGAAGGCCACTCAGCGGTACCCCTGAAAATGGGTGATGGTCGCTTATGTGAATTACACCTCCATAAAAAGAAAGGGGAAACAGAAAGAACTTCAGGGCTATTTTGAGCGCCACCAATGCAAGAAAGCAGGAACGGACATGGGGGAGCCCGGATGCTGAACAATTGATGGGCACCAGGAGGGGAGAGGCAGAGACCGGGGGCGGGGTGGGGGGAGGCGGTTTCCACTTCAGAATCTAACCAGAGGTCGCAAACACTTGAAATGCAAACAAATACAACACATTTTCAAATGTGTAGCTCTTTAATTTCTGCAAATAACCTGGCATTCTAAACCAAGTAAATGATTGTACAGGGAGAAAGCGAGACATCCCACAAGTGCTTTTTCAAGGCCAGTGATTGTACCTGGAGGAGAGGGGCTGGGCTCTGGGGTGGGGGTGGGGGGCAGGGTGGGCACTGAGTGCAGCCTGGGGACCGCCACCAAGAAGGGGCGACCTTGAGCCGCTCTGCCCATTTGCGAAGTCTCCCACATCCTCCATAGAAGCCTGGCAAGCACATCATCTTTTGGCAGGTTTCACAGATCCTCTCAAAACAAATTTGTAAAAATCGCATTTAATACGTGTGCACAAACCTTTTAAGCACACACCAAGTCCACTCTTCTAAAAGGTGTTTCGACAAGATCGGGCGCGTTCAGGGTGGTATGGCCGTGACTAAAAGGTGTTTCGAGTGTTTAATAGGTCACTTCAGTCCAGACCATGTAGAGGGAAGCCATTTGTAAAAAGCTACGCCCTTGGACAAACACTGCCTCAGGATTCCACTTACACAAAGTATCTGAAGCAGTCCAACTCGGGGAAACAGAAAAGAGAATGCTGGGGGAAAACGGGGAGGGATAGTGTTTCACTTTTGCAAGAGGAGAACACTTCCAGGGATCCCTTGTGCAACAACGTGAATCTACTGAGCATCACTGAACCGCACACTTTCAAAAATGGTGAAGGCGGTTCATTTTAGGTCAGGATTTTTAGCTCATCTCAAAATTTTTACAACCATCCTATTAAAGTAATACCCGTGCTAACTGTTTTGCTGGTGTAGTGTTACGGTTTTCGGGAAATTACAGGCTTTAGGGGTTTAGACGGAACCCAGTTTGGAGCTGGATCTACTTTAGAACATGAACGTAAAGATGGCTCTGGCTACAAGTACAGCAACAAAGCAATGACTCCAAGCAAAAACAATCCCAGTTTCTCACATCGCTGCCTGGTTTCTACAAACCACTCAGGAGGTTGTGCTTCCGTAGAGTTTGGACATCTAACCGTAAAATACTGACACGTTATGGGAAAACAACACAAAACAACAACAACGAAACCAAAACCAAAATGAGGTCAAAACTCGGGAGCTGGTTTGGGCCCATGCTCTGGTGTTTTTAAAAAGAGAGCAAATAATGCGAGCCTCAGGATTTGGGAGGGGAAGGCGCGCCTCTGTCCCTTTTACCTCCGGACTGGCTCGCGGCCTGCTGGCCCCGAGGCGGCCCAGCTGTCTGCGCGGCCACTGTCGAGACAGCCACGGGGCCCTGCAAGGTTCTCAAGGGCTGTGCCTGTGGTGGGGCCGGCGGCTGCGAGGCAGGGGCCGGCAACACTGGGTGCGCAGGGCGAGGGCAGATCTGCCGGGGTCTTCCGTGGCTCTCCGCAGAGCCAAGCGCAGCCAACAGCGCCGCCTGGGGCTGCGGCAAACTCCCCTCTCCAGCCCCGCTAAGGACCACGGCCGGCTGAGCAGAGGAGGCCGTTTTCAGACCGGCGGCACCTCGTGCACTTGCACCCTGTGGCCCCGGCTGCGGAGGACCAGAGGTGGAGGCTTGCTGAAGTTGTTCTGGGGGAATCAACTGATAGAGCCGCTGCCCTGGCTGCTGCAGGGTGTTCAAGAGGAGCGAATCTTGGGGAAGCTCCAGTGGAGTTACTGGCCTGAGGCCGGAAGCGTGTTTAAAAAAAAACTGAACGCGGACCGGAGGACCCCGCGCTGCCGCGGGCACCGCACCGGGGGGCCGAGCTCCTGAGGGCAGGCTGCTGGGCTTGTCCCCCGCAGGAGCCGTGGCGCCAGCCGTGCAGCCCTGCCCGGGGCCGGAGCCCCGCTCCAAAGCCTGCGCTCCGCAACCGGGGCCCGCAGAGCTGGCCGTGACCCGGGCGTGGGGGCTGCTTTGTGATGGGCCGGCGGGGGACGGGGTGGTCGCAGGTAGCCTGCTAACTCGAGTGCCCTGCTTCACAGAGGCTTTCGGGGACTTGGCCGTGACCGGGGTGGCCAGGGCTCCCAGCGGGGAGCTGGCGGTGGACAGGGTGGCTGCGGGAAGCGGGCTAACTCCAGGCACATTCACAGAGGACTGCTGGGAGCTGGCCGAGGCCCGGCTCGCCGGGGTCCTCTGTGGTGCGCTGGCGGAGGACGGGGGCGCTGCAGGAAGCGGGCTAACTCGATTCACGTCCACGGAGGACTGCCGGGAAAGACTTGCTGGCTTAGAAGCAGGAGCCGGAGATGGAGATTTAAGAAAGCTGCTGGCCTCCCGTGGAGTAAAACTGTTCCCCGACCAACTCTCCCCTGAGCTCCAGGGAAGTCTGATGCGTAGAGCTGGCGGTCTGACGCCCTGGCCCTGGCCTGGAGACCGAACCGACACCATCTCAGGCTGTTCTGGGTCCTTCCCGGGAGGAAGCCCGCTGAGGCCGGCTGAGCCGCTGGAGCTGTGGGACGCGGGGACTGGACACTCGGCCTTCTGCGGAACCACCGCCTCTGGCCGAACGACTACCCCCACAGCAGCAGTCTTTGACTCGGGCGGGACACTGTCTGAACGGTCGTCTGTGGAGGGGTGCAGAGGAGACATCTGTCCCTCCCACCCGCCTGCCTTCCAGGGCCTTCTCGGTCCAGAGAAAGGTGGATTATTCGGCGGCAGCGGCGGCGGCTGCATGAAGGTCAGCTCCGTTGTCTGAGGCTCGTCGCCAGCCTCACATCCAAACGCACCACCGTCTCTCACCTCGTGGGCTGGCCAGACTCCTGGAGGTGAGACATCCTGTCTGGCGGACCTCTTCCCTCTGGCATATTTCTGCACATCCACTTCAGAAGGGACGGCCAAGTCACAGGGTCTCTGTTTCCACGTATCTACACAACTGCCCGCTTTAGAAATTTTGAGGTCATACCGCCGCCCGGCTTGGCTCTGTCTGCCTTTTCGGCAAGAGGCCCATACTCCGAGCTCAGGAGGAGGTGGGCAACCGGACAGCTGCCGCTGCCGACTCAGAGAGGGTGCAGAATACCTCTTGAAGCTCCTTTTCATCGGGCGAGTGTTCATCTTTTGCTTGTTATAGAGCAGCCTGTTTGCCGTGCAGGCTACTGATACGGAAGGATCGAGACACAGGGGTTCCGCAGTAGCCAAGATCAGTTGGCTCTCAAGCAGCAGTTTGTCCTCCTGGGTCCATTCCTGGCCGTCGCTGCTTATGGACTGCACGTCGCAGGCTAACGTCTGCATGGTCGGGCGCAGGAGAATATGCCTGCTCTGGTAGCCGGGAGGTTCCCCGCCACCGCACTGCCTGTAGTCCCGCACCTGTGCTATGACACACCCACAGTGGAAAACGTTAACCTGAGATTTTTCCAGGAGGTCCAGCAGACCAGGGGGTAACTCCTCAGCATCCAGGTATTCCAGCAATTCCCCTTCTTCGTAAGGCAGCCGAATGGTCTCCGAACACGCCCCATGTTTCCCCTCGAGCATCAGCGAATATCCCCCCTCTCCCGGGTATAGGTTGACCACCAAACAGGGCAACGACTCTCTCCTGACGAGCTTCTCTAGCAAGTTCACGTTGCTTCTTAGCTCCTCCGGAGCCTCAGGCTCTTTCCCACATTCTTCCACATACATGTCATAAAGTTTTTCATAGAGAGATGCTTCCCCACTCGACGAGCGTTTCCTTGTAGGAGGCCTCTGCTGGGCACTTGCGATGACATAGTCCGCACGGTCCAAAGCTCGTTCTACAGCCTGTTGCATCGCGGGACAAAGGGGGCCCTAAAGAGAAGACAAAACGCAAGTGCCTTGAGGGGCGGGGTGAAAACCCTGCCTTTCACGTCGAGGTAGAGTCTCGCCAGCGCCGCAACTCCACCGTGGAGCCAGGAGCCTCACTTGCAAATGGACGGCCAGAAGCCCGCCCCACCGAAAGCACCACACAACATACCTGTGATTTGGGGAAAACACCTGCACGTGTCGGAGCCGCCACCGCGCTGGGTCCGGACTCCCTGCGGGCTGCGCCGGAAGTGGATGGGAGCCCCCCGCCCTCCCCGCTCTCCCCCCGCC